TCGGAAATTTTTATTGTTTATATATTATTAAATATATCACACGTATATTTAATTTATACCTGATTAATAATTGTCTCGTCCAATTATTTAATATTGAAATAAGCCGTTTCTGAAAATAGATTAAATTAAACTCATATTTCATCATCGTAGTCGGTTCATATGATTTCAAAGATATATTGTATATGTGCACAACAAGGATATTTATCGTTAAAAATTGTTCTAACTGAATTAACTGAATTAATTAAAAAAAGGGACATATTTTGTAGAATCTTACACAAGATCATCGTGATACAGTGATTTTTTTGGTAATTTTCGAATTTATGGGAAATGGACCAACAAAAAGTTGGCAACACCCGAACCCAAAATTGTAGTTACATACAATTATTATTATAACAAGGGATTCCTTTTAGCTTACTAAATACCCGCAATTAATTGTTTTCTAACTTTCTCAAAAACAAAATATCCCACTCTTAGTTGGTCCATTTCCCATACAACAAAATTCATTATCACATTGCAGATCAAGCGTCATTCAATATAATAACCGTTACACGAATAAATATCGCCCATTTTTAAAAAAATATTTTTCACTGTTTTTCATATCCTATAACTTTTATTGGTCTTGCAGGCCTTTTTGATTCTTTTGACTACTCCGAAATAGAAATATATACCATAAAACAAATCATACCAAAACCTTTTTCTACATTTCATTTTGTTGATATGGCAAATTTTTTTATATTAAGGGTAGAATGTAGGGTATTCAAAGTTGTTCCATTCCTGTTCCTTGTTGTACAATACTTTACTCCTATTAACATAGATAAAAATCTAATCATTGGCTACTGAGGTCTATCAATCAAAACAATAATGACTTGGCGGATGTAAATCTTTATCAAATTTGGGTGTTATGGCAAAGAGACTTTGTTATTAATAAAATCAAAATCCAGTTCCACACAAAAAGAGTTATTTCTACTCAGAAAAGAACAAAAATAGTAAAAAAAATTGTGCAAATGTTGAGTTGTTATATAGTCTGTGCAGCGTCACTCACTTTCCTAAGTGGTACTTTTTCGATTTTACAATACTCTTCATGTATAAATTGTCGATCTTTGTAACGTCGATCTATCTATAAAAGGATTTTTAACCATGCTATACTATTATCAGGAGCAAGATTTCCAAGAAGATTAAGCTTAGATTAATTCATTTTAATTCAAACTATTTATGTATAAATATTATTTGTATAGTACATTATCATCAAACAATCGTCTAAATCTACATCTAATCTACATCTAAATTTACATCTACATAGCGTATTTTAATATAATTAAAAATAATATGTATATTTTTTTGGTGAATCGCTTCTATCTTCTCTCAGTTGTATTGTGGCTTATATGTTGGCTTATAACATCCACATTAAAGCATCAAGCTTTTAAAAATCACAAAAGCCTGCCCATTTTTCACATGTAACATCAACTAACATACGCATACATTTTGTATTACAAAAACTAATTTGTTCTATAAATAAATAAATAAAATAAATAATGTTGGAGGGGTCCATTTAGTTGGATAGATATTGATTTGATCAATATTGATTGATTAATGTGGTTAGAATAAATAAATTTTTTTTTATTTATTCTATTGTTTTACGAATGGGATTTAAATATATATATTTATTTATTATTATTGTTGATCGGTACTTACCACGTTTTTTTCTTTGAATTTGCACGTAAAATATTAAACGTGCACAAGTCATATGTTCTAATTCATGTTAATGCCATTTATAAACATTTACAAAATTACATGTCAATCAGTCTCAAATGCAACAATAAGTTCATTCTTAGCATGACCTGCATAAAAAAAACACTGAAACGCTATACCAAAAAAAAAACTCCCTTCAAAAAAAATTTATTTTTTTTATGATAAAGACGATAGTAATAAATAATAACAAATGCATATATATATGACAAATGAATAACAGCGGTGGTAAAAATAATGGTAGTGTTAAAACTAATAATCAAGCAATAAATAACAATTCACGTCGAACTACTCCTGCCTCAAAAAAATCTATAAGTTTGGGACCACCACCAAAACCTTCCCGTACAATAACAAACAATAACAACAATAATCAATCACAAAATCAACCCACAATATCTCGTAGTCCTTCTGCTGGCAGTGTTTTGACGAAAAATAGTTCCACGTCTGATTCTAGTAATTCTACAAAATATTCACAGCCTGCTTATGGCTCTATTAAAGGAGCACAAGCCATCAATGTACCTGGCGAGCCTATTCAACCAGTTAATAGTAATGAAAAAGATGGTAATAATAAATCTTTTAAGGGTGTCTTTAATAATATTGTTAGCTCAATGTCAGGTAAAAATCTTTTTTAAAAAAGTATATTCGATTATTTAATTATATATATTTGTATGCAATCAAATTAAAAAAATTTTTTTTAAATTTAACTATTAATTGATATATATATTTTAATATATCAATTAATATTGTTATAACTGGCATATAATAATAATCATAATAATCATAATAATGATCGTTATCGTCGTCATCTATTTAGATCTTTTAACATCACAAAAAAGAGTAGAAATTTCGTCGCCTTATGATCCAGTTCATCTAACTCATGTTGGTTTTAATCAAGAAACTGGTGAATTTACTGTAAGTCGTCCCCATTAAGAATATTTAATGATTCACATGATATA